CTAGTGAGAATTGTGTGTGTGTGTGTATGTGTGTGTGTATGTGTGTATATATATATATATATATATGTGTGTGTGTGTGTGTGTGTATGTATATATATATATACACATATATATATATATACTGTATATGTGTGTGTGTGTGTGTGTGTGTGTGATAAAGCTACAATTGTCTCTTTAAAACTTATATTTTTCAAGCTTTTAGCTGGCTGGCTAATACATCAGTACATCCTTTTGGAGGCTGCAGAATCCTACAACAAAGCACTTAAATTCCAAAATATGGAACCTTGTGTCCATTATTCATATTCTTATATGAAGTGCTATGATCTCAGCAAATGACGTGTTCCATATTTTCTTCTTTGTGGTGAGCTGTACTTTCTTCCTACAATCTTTCAAGCATATTGAAAAGATTTCACTATTACTTGTAAGCATATGAACAAAGATAAGCATATCCTGGCTAACCATCCCTGCTGTTGGCATGCATGGTGACTTACCTTTAAGCAACATAGAAGGCTTCTCCTGGGTATTCCAAGATTCTGTTGTTTTGACAGTTGGGCAGTTGTGAGATGTTCTCAAGCGATCAACTTAGAAGGAGTTTGCCTTTTTTATGATCTCATATGTTTGGTAACTATTTCAGTCATTCTCTCTCTCTGTTCTTTAATAAATTATAGGCAATGGCACTATTATAAGATTGTTACCTAGTATTAAATATATTAATATAACTTAATGTTAAGAACTAATATTTACAATTGATGAGTTGCTAAGACCAGCTACAATCTGTCCTCTACATTATTATGAATCAATTGTACAAATTTACAAGGGAATATGTTTCCATATCAGCACTATAATGAAACTCTAGGAGGTAAAGCACAATGTACTCAAGGCCACCTTTGTAGATCCTTGTTTCATGAGGCTTTAACTGCATATTCTTCTCTAGAATAATTTTGAGAGCTAGATTCTGATGCAGATCTTGAGAAAGGTAGTTCCCATCAACCTCCAGGTCACATACTGAATATGTGCCATCAAGTCAATATCAGCTCTTAGTGACCATGTAAGATGATCTGTCCCCAAGGTTTTCCAACAGTTCATCCTTCTCCACTGTAATTGAGTCCATCCACCTTGCTGCTGGTCACCTCTTTCTTTTCCATCTTTCCCAGCATTATAGACTTTTCAAGAGAGCCAAACCTCTGTACAATGTGTCCAAAATATGTTAATTATGTCAGTGACAGTTTAGATAGGTGATAAGGTTACAGCAAAGAGATTTGGTTTCTTGCAACTACTTATTAGAATACTCTATCTCTCATGGTATGATAGATGAAAATCTAGCAATGATTGGGAACTGTAGCTTTTCTTCATTTATATACTTTCAGGGCAGGTGGCTATGCAGTGAGGCCAGAATAAAAAAAGAGGAGAGTGTTGTTTTTTTCCCTCTGGAATATTCATGATGTTATGCTGGAATTCTAAGTTTAGATGTGGAGAAATTAATAGGTATGAATATACTTTAAGCTTAGGCATGAATAAACTGCCTTACCAGTATTCTATTCCTGCATGCTTTGTTATCTACATATTTTGCTGTGCAATACGTGTACTTGGATTTTTCCCAGCCAGTGATATTGGACAAAAAAACTTAAGTATAAGACTAGCACAACTTTCTCCCATCCAGTATCCTCCAGAACTGCACTCTGATTTTCCTCAGCCAGCGTGCCATATTGGCTGCAGACAGAGATGTGGTCCAACACATCTGATGGGCACATGTTGAAAAAGTCTTTTCTAGGACCTCATTATTTTTGAGAATTTGTGAATATGTCAAAAGAATGTTCCGCTTTTTGGTTCTTCCTCTGATTCACTTTCAGCTCTTGATTCTTTGTACTGTTCAAAGAGATGTTCAAGACTTTCATGATATCTCATATTTTGTTTTCATTTCTGTATGTAAGCAGTGATTGCGGAAAGACAAAGAAATTCATATATTAACATTTAGCTGTACATTTTATGTGAAAAATGAAATAATACATTGCTCCAGCTGTGTGGAAATAATACTTGATGTTCTTGCAAAAACTGAAAATGTTATTTGGGATTATGAATAGCTCAGAAGTAAATGTAAATATGCTATTATATTCATTACTAGCACTATTTTCTTTATCTAATTTTAAAATATTATGTTCTTCTCAAGTATGACACCTAGGCCAGTTGTTCAAAAAAACACTGATAAGCAAAAGTAGGAATGAATACTGTTCACTGGTGTAACTGGAACTCAAACTTGCTCCAGGTTTTATCCCTCTATCCTGTCTTAGAATATATGAAACTGACAGTTATGGAAGTAAACTAGAATGTCTGATCCCAAACATAAAGCATGAAATATTTGATCACCTCATACATCTTTTCCCAAAGCCGTTTCCCACAACACAGCTATGTTATCTTCTGTGAACAAGGGCATGGTTAACATTCCTCATTAAAACGGATACTTTCCATTTGCTTCAGTCTTCCTAAACCTCTCTCACTGACCTTCTATTTCTCAGCAATATCCTATCTGTTCCATCCTTTCTTCTGTTCAATGATCGGCAAAGAAGCAAGAGTTTGCCAAATGAAGAATAACAGGAGGTACCCAGATCTAAAGTCTTCCCGTTTGTGCTTAATCCTACTATAAATATGCCCTGGCAACCTGTTTGTTTCTTTGTTTGTTTATTTGGCCATTCTTGTCCCGAGCCCATGAGAGGGGCAGGCTTGGACATCCTTTAAAGTAGCATCATCTCCCTTATTCCAATATCATCCAAGAGCAGCTTCAGGGTGTATAAAATTGTTAGGCTTTTTCATTCACTGGAGGGAAATCAGGTGACTGGACAATGACTGGGAACAGAGGCAACTGAGGTAGGCAGCAATACTGACAGCCAGGTTCATGTCAGCATAGTTTTCTGCAGACTCAAGGATGGGGGGAATAGCACTCAGCAGTGAGAAAAGGCCTCAAGGAGTGTTAACTATGACTCTTCTCAATAGGTCCTATAGATATCAACATCAGCAAGTGCTGCCCCTCCCTTGCACATCCCAAGTTGGCTGCTATCTCCAATAAGAAACTAACCAACCTTAAGTCTGAACTAATTTGCTGCATCAGCATTAGGCTGAGATAAATCCTTGAGATGCAATATCTAAAAGGGTTTTCTATTGGCCATACTGAGAGCTTGTTTGGTGTAGCGGTTAAGGCATCAGGCTAGAAACTGGGAGTTCAAGTCCCACCTTAGGCACGAAGCCAGCTAGGTGACTTTGGGCCAGTCCCTTTGTCTCAGCCATAGGAAGCAGGCAAGGGCAAACCACTTCCAAAAAACCTTGCGAAAAAAACTGCAGTGACTTGTCCAAGCAGTAGTCAACACTGACTTGAAGGCACCCCCCCAAAAAGGTCATATTGAGGATCCCTGTACATCTCTGCATGAGCCCTCAGCACTGCCCAGAGGTTAAGTATGATTTTTTTGTCAGCCCTTCAAGGTAGGCCACGTCAGAAAACAGACTCCATGACTGGAACTCTGCTTTATTGATATAGACTATGGTAACAGAATCTTGAAAGTCTGGCTGTGTTTTACCTTCCCTCCTCCCCCTTAACTCAAGGCAGTTAAGGCAGAGCCAGTTTGAGTTTCTTTCTAATGTTTTCTTCCTGTCCTATACTTAAATGATGTTTTTCTAATGGATGTCGAACAGTTTCTCCAAGATCATCTCTGTGGTTCTCTATATTTAATATAACATCAGGTGGCCTCCTGCAACCTGACACTCTTCCTGTGTCTGATGACAGCACCTAGAATCCCCAGCAAGATAGGGAAGCCTAACCCAAGCTACAAAGCCAGGCATTATAGGCTCATCTGGTTTAACAATTGCTTCCTTTCCCTGGGGAGCATGGGTCAAGGACCTCTGTTAGCAAGTTAACAATTTGTTCATCAAAGCCGGTGTGTAACTTCACCAGCGAATGAGATCATTTCTTCAAATTCCCAGGATACACTGTGTGAAGTCAAACTTTGATTTGTTTAAAAAGTGACTATTCCCTTGAGTTGAGCTTGACTTGTTCACAGAATTCTCTTGACAAAAGTATGAAAGTATTTTGACAGACTTTTTCAACTTTTTGGTCTACCCTACAGCCTAGGAATTTCCAAGTGTCACCTGCTGAGGCCACTGTCTGGAACCAAACAAGATTAACAGTGAGATATGCCATAGATTGCCTTTATTCTCCCTTTTCCATCCTTAAGCACTAGATGCCACTGCCTTCAACAGTTAGCAAGAGTTCAGTAGGCTGAGCTTTTCTAAACACATCTTCATGCTGAGCATACTTTCCTAATATTTTATTAGCCCCTCAGCTTTCTTCTTTAAAAAGCAAAAGTACGGTAACACTGCAACATCAAACCAACAATACAGTATTGCCTCTCTCGAGCGATTTCCAACACCTCTGTAAAAAAAAAAAAAAAAGTAATGATCTGCTGCTCACAATTAGTGTGAAGAAAGGTTCAATAAAGCACTTTCTGAAGCACTGTTCATTTTGCAGCCTAAATAGCATGAGGTTTCCACACCCTTGTCCATATTCTGGAAGCACTTTGTTCCAGTTATTTACAAAATAACTCATGCAATTTGCCAGATCGATTCCCATAAATCCTTCTTCGTCATAGCAGCCCGTTTCATTAAATGTGCATAGTCCCTATTAATTTAAGATCCTTGACTGCTGCAACACCTGTAAGTCTAATGGCAGTCAAACGCAGTGCTGTGCAACGAAACGGCAAAGCAGAGCACAAGCAAAACTTAGGGTGGGGATAATGAAACTGAGCGACCACCTGAGCGGTAACTCCATTATCCTCCCGTTGCTAAATGAACAGCAGCTGAGAGGGACGGGAAACCATCGCCCTTGCTCACGGCCAAGCGGGCAAGACCCAATGTTTTGATCACGCTCCATCCCGATCCCTTAGAAACGGGAGAATGGCGCCAACAATGGGCTGGCGGCTTCACGACATATCGGAAACAGCCACCCAGGAACAAATGAGACCCTCGGGCGCGCCCAGCGCGAGCCAATCCAGCGCCGGCCCGAAGCCCAGCAATAAAAAGCGGGGAGAGCGTAGGCAGAGGAAGCGGGGAAGGACTACAACGTCCAGAGGCCCGGTGGGCGGAAGGTGTGCGCGTGCGTGCTATATAAAGCCGGTGTGTAACCTCACCAGTGAATTAGATCGTTTCTTCAAGCCGGGGCCGAGATTTGGGGTGCGAGGTGGTCTGGGGGCGGGGGAGGCATCCTCTTTCCCTCCGCCTTGCACCCCTGGGACATGCATCCAACTGCCGACCTTCCCTCCCGTGCTTAGCACGGGGCGGGCGGGGGTGTCTTTGACTCCCCCCTCACTTTCTCGGGGCTGCAGGATTTTTCAAGCAAGAAGTCGTCGGATTCGGGAAAGGACAAAGGCTGTCGCTTTGCGGGCGATCGGCAAAGGTAACACTAATACGGGGTCTGTGGGTGGCTTGTCAGAAGTTTCAGTCCGCGGAGTTTTGAGAAGTTCTGTGCAATTTGTACTTCAAAAGAGAGAGAGAGATTAAAATGAGCCCGGGAAAATGCCGTCTTGATTCCCGGCAATCTCAAGTCAGATGTGGAAAAAGCGAGTTAGGTCTGAAATTCGCCGAGATCTGTTGCAAAAAGGAAAAAAAAAAAAAAAAGCTGGAGCCCGGGGAGGTCGGTGCCGTCTCCCACAACAGGCCGAAGAAAAGGTGGGCGTGAGTCGGCCAAGAGACGAAAATCGATAATGGCTTGTATTCCAATCGAAATCTCTTTGCTCTTATTTTGAGGAAGAACAGAGCGGCAGGTAAAGTGCTGATAAATGGCTTGATGCTGGCCAAGACTGCTTGAACCTTTTTGCACAGATACAAATCTGCAATGGGCATCCAGGTGTAGAGAAGTTTAGTGGACTGAACTATTTTCATGCGGAGAAGGGGAGACTATATAGGTAAATCTGCAGCCATATCCTGTATCTGGTTAAGCTGCAACTACATATCCCTAATTCTACACTGCAATATGCTTATCGGCTCTTTTTACAAAGGAGCATGGGGAATTTTGTAAAAACAGTAGATGAAGTTTAAACATGTGCATATTTTGTTCATTAATTTACTTTGATGTCTGCCTACCTTGCAGGCGCTGCCTGTTTCACCAGACACTTTCCCTTGGATGGGAAGCCTAAGGATGGAAGAGCCATGGTGGAAAGGAGACCTTGCAGCAGACGTTCACCAGACGTTGAGACTGAAGGTTTGATTAGATAGCTGTTTCCCTCTTTCCTCTATCCTTTATCAATGCTGTTACTACAATTCAAAAAAGGTATAATCTGCTGCTTAGAGAGATGCCCTCCCAAAGTGACTTCCAAATAAGAAAGACTCAAGCAACTAGAAGTGTTTTTAAAGCATGATTGAAATTAAACTTAGCTTTCAGGCTTGGAAGTTATTGAGAGCAGAACACACATGGCGACCACCTTACTCAGGAAAGATCATTTGGAACAAATAGATAATTGTTCTTAAACATCTGTACTTCAAGATCTGTCACCGGGGCAAGGAGGAGAACATATATAATGGACATATTTTAAGTCCATGACAGACAGATAATATTCGGAAGCAGCTCAGACAAGACAGACACCTCCCTAATTCACTGGAATATAAGAAGGGGGTGGGAGTACAACACACTTGGAGTTTGTCAGCCCCACAAGGTAGACCAGATCAAGAAATCAACTGCATAGGAAGAGTAAAGCTGCTTTTTTTGTGATTGGCTATAATAACAGAAACTTGAAAGTCCAATTCTCTGTCTGTTGTGGACAATGTCACACCTTCCACTCGCCCACATTGCCCTGGTGATGGACCTTGCATGTCTTTATCAAGGTCATTTTCCTTCCTTTTTAACATTCCTCACCTGCAGTCCCACTAGCTATGGCTGCTATAGATGTAGCTGAATCACAAGTTTGCACAAGAGTAAGGTGTAAAGCAACAGAAAGGAAGTTATGTACAGGAAAAAAATAAACCTGACAAACAAAATGGAGACTGCGCTCTTCCCCCCCCCCCTTTGGATATGATCATGGTCAAACCCAGTTCCTCTCTTTGCCTAATCCCATCAGACCCCGTTGACCCTTCCTGCCCCTGACAAGGCCCCTGCCATCCCATCTAAACCAAAGAATAGAAGCTTCCCCACCAGCTCACAGTGTGGTCCAAGGGCAACCCTTACAAGGAAACTGCAACCTAGAGAAACCCCAACCTTCCCTCTTCCTATCAGCTGATGACCTCGACATTCCACCTCCTTCACAATGCACTTCCTCAGCCCTGCTGCCCTCCTGAAAGGCCATTTTGCCTAACAATGGAACTAACCCCAGGTACACTGACAAAGATCAGCCCAGCTTCCCCAAACTGGCCAGCCATTCAGATCCCTAGGATTTCCCGCCTTGTATCCCTTGATTTCTGTAAAAATCTTTGCTTTTCCATTGTTTGGGGTCCCTTTTCCTTCTAAAGCAGGCACCCAATGATCATTGCAATTAACATGGTTCTCAGCATTGTGCTCCTTACTTTGGTAAAATTCCACGGCAGTTATATAAATAAAAGGCCACTACCATAACATCCCTGTGCTTTGAAGTTGCTAGTATAGTTGTTTCAATCAGTGTGATAAGAGTGCAGCTGGGGTTTGTTTATTTACAGTGGGGCAAAAAAGTATTTAGTCAGCCACCAATTGTGCAGGTTCTCCCACTTAAAAAGATGAGAGAGGCCTGTAATTTTCATCATAGGTATACCTCAACTATGAAATGGGAAAAATGGGAAAAAACATCCAGAAAATCACATTGTCTGATTTTTAAAGAATTTGTTTGCAAATCATGGTGGAAA